TAAAGCAGGTCGGGACCATTATAACATTAGAAGCATGACATTAGCTGCTGTGGTTCCCCTGCTTTACATCTGGCAGGTTAGGGTGTTAGGTCTGTGTTGTGTCAGATTTGACAGTAGTCTTAGGTAGAGTTTAAATCTGGATAGGGATGACTCTGCTTTAGGCAGTAGGCAGGGAATTGGACTACATGACCTCTGGAGGTCCCTTCCAGTTCTACTTCTCTCTGATTCTATGAACTATCTATTCTACCTTCAGCGTTATTTCCATCCAAAGCAAGGTGATGCTGGAAATGCCAGATGCATAACAGCCTTTGTAGGGCATCTGACCCATGGCTAGAGTAATTGAGGAGGGTCCCATTGCCTATATACTCATTCATCAATAGTGAGAGCAAGGGATCTCAGAGGGCAGAGGTCCCCTGTGGGTGAAGACATCTGGTGCCAACTTGGGAGGTGAACAGTTACTACTGCCACTCAATCTGCAGCACTGGATCAGGAGCTGAAAACTCTGAGCTTCAGGGGCTGAAAAATGAAAGAGATCCCTGCAAAGAGATCCTTGCAAAATAGAGAGGAAAAGGGGCAAAAGAAGGGGCACTGGACAAACCAGGAGCCCAAGACTGACCTCCTTGCTGTAGGTGGTATAACAGGGCATACTCTCTTCCCCTGAGAGAACAACTACACTGGGACACTGATAGGGACAGGGATGAGGGACACATGCTCTTCTCCGGGAAAGCTCCAGAAATATTTTTGACCGTCTTTTTTGTACTGTTGCCAGGAACTCCAAGTCCTTAGTGTGCGTCGTCCCCGACGTCTCTGCATTTGGCAGCGACTGGCGATGGCTGAGATACCCCATCACAGTGCCTCTGTTGCTGATAAGGAATGATGGACTTATCTACTCCAGTACATTCACCTTTACATATACTCCAGAGCAGAGCTTTCTCCCTGGCCAGCAGGTCCTCCCAGAGCTGCCACAGGACTCTGATGCCTTGCTTGACAGCATCCATCAGGAATTCACCAGGACCAATTTTCACCTTTTCATGCAGAGTTAGAAAGCCCAGAAGAGAGAGACAGGGCTTGGGAAAGTTCTGGTACAATCTGTGAGGAACGGACATCAGCTCTTAGAGTTGGGTACCAATGTCCCCCAGTGTGTATGAAGGCCTGGGGTTAGGCCCACTCTGAGCACTCTGTCCACATCTAGAAAACCAAGCACATTTTTTGATTTGATAAGAATATTTTTCAAAGGAACAGTTGCCTCCTGTAAAATTCACTAACAAAATGGCCCACAATAAAACATGCTTCCAGGACTTCTTCACCCATTCAAATGATTCTTTACTGGATATTTTGTAGACTTCATCATGTAGGTCTTTAGCTACTATAGAACTTCATAGATCTGTTCATTTAAAGACTTCATATACTGGAAGGCTAACATGGACCATTATAATAATCTAGTCTGACTTCTTTGATTGATTTCCACCCAAAAATTCCTGCTATGAATCTGCTGATTTCAAACAGCTGAGAATCCAGCACCAAACATTTGCTTATTAGGGACTCATTTGGGAGGGATTTCAGATGTCTATTTTTTTAAGACAAATGAGACATTACTCAAAAATGGAACATCCTGAGCTTTTCCAGGTACTACCACCCCTCCTTGTTTCACACACACACACACACACACACACACACACACACACACACACGGCAACATACACCTCAGTTGCAAACTACTGAGTTAAGGGTGTGCAACATGTTGGGGTCCCAAGGGTGGCTGTGACACCCCCGGTGGCTCTGCAACTGTGCCTTGTGCCACTGCTAAGGTGCTCTCCCTGTCTCGCCTGCCATGCCTTGATGTATAATAAATTAAGAGGGAGACTGCCCCCCAGACCTTTATTAGGCCTCGGTCCACTGGTCTTAGGTCCCTGGCTAAACCTCTGTAATCTCAGGCCCCTGGCTGGGCCTTTACATTTTCAGGTACCCTGGCTGGGCCTCTATAGTCTACTGTGCCTGGCTGGGCACTCAGAGCCTTATTGGCTAATTGCATGGCTCCGTGGTCTTCCCTTTACCACACCCCATGCCTTACGGGTGTTATCAGTGTGATGTCCCTTTGTTGGGGCCTTGGCCTCCTAGGCTTCTGCCACTTCATTCTAGCTAGGCCAGGGGTTTTCAACCAGAGGTACGCATACCCCTTAGGGGGTATTCAGCAGCAGGCACCACCAGCACTTCCATCTCACCGATGGGCTGCAGAGCACCCCCCACCCCGGTCACGGACTGGCTGCTGGGGGACCCTCTCCCCTCCACTCATTGACTGGCTGCCAGGGGACCTCTTCCTTCTCAACCAGCTGCTGGGGGTACACTTACCCAAAAAGGCTGAAAACCCCTGAGCTAGGCCTACCAGCCCAGGCCCACTGGATAGGACCCGGCTCTGAGGCACTAGTTTCCCTTGTCCTCTCAAGTTACTGAGCCCCTGGCTCTTGTATGCTGGGCCCCTGGCCCCTCTGTGAATGCACCCTCACTGGCGCTGCGCCCCTGGCCCCACTGTGGCTTGCTCAGGGCTCAAGGCGGTCCAGTGCCCCCTTGGACACCAATGAGGTCTCCACCTCCCCTACGGCCTCTTCTACAAACCACCAGTTTATCCCAACATAAATACAAGCCCCTGGGCTATAACATAAACCAGTGTTTCCCAACCAGCATGCCATCAGAAATTAACAGGTGTGTCACAGAACTTTGCCACAGCAATAAGCTGCAATGAGCTACAATAGGTATGAGGATGGGGAATGCCTTAACAGGTGTGCCATGGAAAATTTTTATTAATGTAAACATGAACAATGCGTGCCCCCAGAGGCTGGGGGGGCATAGCGACCACCCACAGGTCGCAGCGGCAGTGGCAGCAGCAGAAGTGTGGCGGCAGGGAACTCCCGCAAGCGGCCACTGCAGTGTTGGCAGCGGGGTCAGGGGGTTGGTGACCACCCGTAGACACCACTGGCAGCTTTGGCGGCGGCCAGCAGCAATCGGGGACTGCCCGCAGATGCTGCTGGTGGTGTCGGCGACCAGTGCAGGTAGGGGGAAAGGGGTGGTGAGCGGTGACTGCCCACAGGCACTGCCAGCAGCATCAGCTGTGGTTCTGTCAGGGAGTGCACCGCCAATCTCAGGGGGTGCGCGTGCACCCGCTACGCACTGCCAATGAATGTAAGTGGGCCTTGAGCTGGAAAAGGTTGGGAAATACTGACATAAACAATGACATAAACGGCCTTCTGCCCCTTTAAGAGTCTAAGCCTCTACTCACCCAGCATCCTGGGCTGCCCTGGACAAGTAGTCCTTCCCTGGTGGCAGCCAGACTGCTCCTGCTAGCCCCAGCTCTGGGCTTAAATGCTCCCCTGGTGCTTCCTGCATCCAGTCATCTGACCAGCTGCAGGTACTGGCTAATTACCTACTAGCCAGTTGCCTTGGCAATCTGCAGCTGTGGTGCCCTGCATAGCCTACAGATCTCCCTTGCTAGGCTGCTTTCCTCTGCAAGTAACAGAGAGCCTGAGACTCTCCGTTGCAGGGTGCCTTAAAAAGAATCTGCCCCATGGAACAGATACTCTGAATCCTCCACACAGAAGCAGGATTTAAAACTTTATGCTGAGTCCTCACATCTCTGTGGCATCAAAAAGCATATGGTATACTTTGAAACACACGCTGTTTTGGATGTTGGGGTTGATTCAGAGGTGACCCAATTGCCAAAACCACACTGCATTTTAACCTACACTGAACTCCTGATGGTAAACCAGGGAGCTTGGAGGAAACATACCACTGCCTAGTGAACTTCAGCAGCCTATGAGCACTGGGTGATATTTCCCACAAATGGCCTTTTCTTTCAGTCTTCTAATCACAGCTCTACTCCTGGAGCCCATGGGTGTGCTCTGCAGGCATGTGTAATCCTGTGGCCAACGTGTTTTGGATTCCACCACACGGGGTACTTTATGTCTAGTGGTTTGGGGCATGGTCTTTCATATTTCTCTGTATCACATTTAACACTTGGGCTCCAGGAGCAGAGGGTCACAAAGGCATCTTGCTTGCTCAGGACCTCAGATCAAATTCTGCTGTTTGTACCAATGGTACAACCATTTTAATTCCAAGAGAGCTCCACCTTCATTGTACACTTTGGTATGAAGCTCTAGGAGAACCAGTCTAGCTTTGTGCATCCTCTCAGTGTTTGCACAGCTCACCCCAGGACCATACAATAAGCACACCAAAGCCTTTGCCCTCAAAGGGCACTTGTACACATGATGGGGGTTTAGTCCTTGGGGTTTTATTTATTCTATGCTTCTTAAATTGAAACAGTGGGTGTTTAACTGAAACCCACTGTTTCAATTTTTCTGTCATGTTATGGCAAGGGCCCAATCGGGTTTTGGGGGGGGTGGTTTGTCAGAGCCTACCCATGGCTGGGGGCGAGCTGCTGGCAGGCTGAAAGGGCCCTGAGCTACAGGGGGCCCCAGTCCTTCCCTCCACAGTGGCAGCGCCGCCCTGGGGCCACCCAGGTGGGCTGCTAGTGGGCTGGGTGCTGCCCCACCTCAGAGGCAGCCCCCAGCCCAATCCAACTCTTCCCCGAGCCCTCCTGGGGAGCAGTGCCCAGAGGGCTTCCAGTACGCAGGCTTGGGGAACAGTTGGATCAGGCTGTGTGCTGCCTCCGAGCTGGAGCAGCACCTGGCCTGCTAACAGCCTGCTCAGGAGGCCCTGGGGTGCCACCACTGTGGATTGAAGGACCAGGGCCCCCTGCAGCTCAGGGGCCACTTGGCCCGCTGGCAACTCACCCCTCGGCTGTGGGAGAGGCAGGCAGGCTCCACCAAAAAAAAAAAGATTGGGCCCCTCACAGCTTCAGCCTTCAGCGGGTGCCTGCTGAAAGCAGAAATAATGAGGGACCCGATCCTTTTTTTCTGTGGAACCTGCCTGCCTCTCCCACGGCCTGGGGGCAAGCTGACAGCTGCAATGCATCGTTGCAAACTAAACTGCATCTGGATGTAGTTTAGTTTGCAACAATGCAAACTTATCTAAAACCCCCAAAACTGGTGCACATGTAATGTGTGATGCCATTAAGCCATACAAATGACATTTTCATCATTGGATATCATGACGACTGTCACATGTACATGCGCCCTATGCCTGTTACTTCCCTTTTCACCAGTGGAAACTACTTTGGCCTTGCATCATTTCTGTCCAGTTTCTTGGTGAACCATTGTATGTTGAAAGGAACCCAAGATCGATCTGCTCTGAATGGCTCTCCTGAAAACTAACAACTGGAGAAAAAGTAGGTGAGGTTTTTTGTCTTTACCTCTGAGGTTATCACCAGTGCAGCTCATTTGCTCTTATCCCCCTGGGCTTGATAATCTCCCTAAAAAGATAACCATCAGGCTGAGAAGGGCATGATTCAGCAACAGCAAGAAGCACTCAGGAGCAGATTTTCAAAGGAAGTTGGAGACCTAAAGATACAAATAAGAGCCCATTGGTGCCCAGAGCCCATTGATGGTGCCATTGATGGGCTTTGGGCACCAAGGTTGTTCTGAAAATCTCGGTAGGCACTTACACACCTTTAAATATCTGGCAATTATGGCTTTCAGTACAAGGGCTGCTTTGGTATCAGAAGACAGGCCTCCTCTCTTCTAGCCAAAGCTCCTTGTGTGCCCCTGGGCAAGGTGCATGCTCTTCAGATATCATTTTATAATCCTTTCTTGCCTACTGGTTTAGGATTCTGACTTCCAGTTTGCAGAGTGCCTGGAGAAGGTAGAAGGTGCTGAGGAAGTGCAAAGGGTTATTAACCCCTCCCCTCCCCTTTGCTTCTTTTGGGGTATTCCCTGCTCTTTCATCTTGGATGGCCTCCCACTTAATGTGTCCAGCCAGTGGGTCAGAATTGAGCAGGCTCTGTGGTCCCAGCAGGGCTTGAGGCAGGAGGCTGCTCCCTATGCTATAGCTTCCTGCGTTCCACTGAGCTTGTCAGTTTATTCTAATTTTAGCACATAAAGGGGAAAAAAGAGCCGTTCTGTTTACATAACGGCAGGTCTCCTCACTGAAAACAGAGCTCTCTGCTGACACGGGGGCAGATATATTGCACAGTGGAACTCCAGGCAGCTCTGGCAGCTTTACAATCCCCTGGGCATTAGGCATGAATGGCACAATGTGTAGACCCAGACTGCTCCAGCAGGAGGGGAATGAAGAAAAATATGTTTGATTGGCTCTGCTGGCTCCAGCTACAAGTAGGTGAGGCCAACTGAGAGGCAGCTCCTGAACTGGCTCGAGGGCCAGTCAATTTCTCCTTTATTGAGACCAGTTC